GGGAGTGCAAGACACAGTACAGTGAATTAAGAGTGAAGAGGAAGTCAGGAAATAAAAGTGTATATACTTTTTCTGACCAATGATCTGGTCAGAAGGGTGAGGAGAGAGGACAGTATGTGGAGGGGTTGGTTGTCAGAAGGGTGGAGAGATGGAAGTGTGCTTTTAAAACCTGATAAGAAGGAAACAACAGAACAGATTAAAGATCTTGGAAAGAAGAGATAGTTCATAATCTAAGCTAAGGAAAAAGGTAATGAGATCCAGAGTGTAAACTGAGGGACTCATATCATACAGAAGAGGGCAACATATTATCAATTTTATACCTAAGGGAAGGAGAGCAGGCCGGTAAAGTGTAATGCATGCTCCCAATCTGATGCTCCTAATTTCTTTCTGAAGTTGGAGTAGGGCAGGGTTGGAGGACAGAATGATTTGATCATAGAAACTGGGAATTGACTCATAGTGTTGAAGGCCCAGCAAAAGTTGGTAGTTATAAAATTTAGAGTGGCATCATTCTTCCTTGTTGTGTACATTGAAATAGAAAAATTCAGGGAACATGTAAGATGTCATGATATATTCATTATATGGTAAGACATTGTTTTATAATTTCAGAAAACAGTGTGACAACAACCTCCTTAAAACAAATTATTACAGGACTCTTGTATTACACAGACTTGACTGAGACTAGTCATTTCCGCCCCCCTACTTGAAAAGGTACCTACATTCTACTTTTAAACAATCAAGCCATGTTTTGGATACTATCACATCTAAGGCTTTAAATTCAGTCAACCCTCTTTCATGCTACCACAACTATGAAATAATTTATTCTGAGAAGTGACTTTTTTGAAATATATACAAATGTAGCTATAATTGTGTGTGCAAATGTGCAATCCTCATTAATCTGATTAGGTGAATAATTTGGTAGTCTTACTCTAATTCTGTGAGGAAAGATCTTGCTAAATACAGTAGAACATTTGTTTGCTTGTTTAATAGGCTACACTTCAAGATTTTTTCAAGTAAGTTATTACATTTGAATCCAAGTTAAAGTTTTAATTATTCATTGAAAGTTAACTTTGCAGGATCTGCTTAGAAACTCATAACTGACAGCTGGAGTTATTAGATATAACTAACATTACCTTTAAATTTTTCTTTAAATTTTATTAACTTAGCATAATTTTCCCATGTTATCAAGCATTTACTGTACATTTATACCCAAAATGATCTTGCAAGATCACTAACAAATGGCTTTACAAGACAACATAAATACAAATAACACTTGACTTACACATTAAGAAAAAAATTCCAGTTTCTATGAATAAAAAACCACAAGCACTTATGATTTTTATAATAGTGGAATATATAATCTAAGCAACAGATAAAATAGTGATCCCTAGAAAATTCAGTTTGGAGAAATGGGTGTCAGTATTTCCAAGCAAAAAAAAGAACATTCTTATAAAAATTCACTAAATTCTTATTTTCATTACTAATTATGAAATTAGAAGAAATTTCTGAAAGGGCCCAACACATACGGCTATATAGATCAAACTAAAAGGACAAAAGAGGTGCAACTAGTCAAATTCCCTTTAATGTCTTCACCCATTCACTTTGTCCTTAGACAACTCTCCTACATTCATCCAGAATGTATACAAGGAGTAAATGAATTAACTGACATCATGACTTATATTTACATGGACTTTTCAATCAATTTCAAAGCTCAAAAGGAAATCAGTAGTATCTTTTCTAATACAAAATTTTCTTAACAAAAGACATTTAGTAATACCCACAAAAATATTCTTCAGGGCTTATTTTCAATATAATTACCAACAGGTTAAAATTTATAGTCATCAATATAGATTGGACCTACTTCCTGTCAGACTCTCAAGTCTTTTCCTACCCAGTAACAGTATGAAACATATTTCTTGCATTCCAATCCTGACCTACCAATGCTTAGGAATTCAAAATAATATTAAGTAAAAAAGATGATCCTCCATGGTAAAGCCATGAATCTCAAATCTTACTTAGGCTATTTTAGGGTATTCAAAGCATCAAATATGAAAACAATGTCCACTGTCCATTAGCACTGCAGAAGTATCTAACACTTGTATGATTCTACTGCATAAAATTTACAAACATCAAATGATAAGCTAAAGTACTGTTATAGTGGTTTTCAGAATGTTAAAGACCTTTTTATCATTATAAAGCCACATTAAATTTTCATGAAAAGCATAGCATTATTATGTTTCAGGGAGAATATGATCTACAATGTAATACCACAGCTTAGCCTCACCTATGTAGTAAAGGCCTGTAATGACTAAGCCAGGTAGGCCCTGTCTTATCAGACTTTAATTAATTTTATACCATATCCACTTTTTTTCCTTTGTTACATATAGACTAAACTGCTTTTCAGTTTATCAGTACATTAAATTTTTAAAAATTACTGTTCAAGACAAATTAGAATGATTCAGCAACTAAGTCTTAAATTCAAGAGCAAGAAATGCAGCTGATTTTTTTTTTTTTAAAGCAACCAAAATCTCACTCAAGAAATCTACCTCTATGGCCAGAAAAAAAGAGGAATTAGTTTCTGTCAAGTAATTCAATAAAGAATATGCTATGAAACCGATCATCTGGAAAATAATTTAAATTAACAGACAACTCAGTGACTAAATGTTGTTAATTCTGCTTTTTCAGTAGATAAAAAGCATTCTTTTTCAACTTATATTTAACAGGTTCATAATTTAAGTAACACATTTTAAGATGATACTATCCCTTACAAAGATCCTTACATTTTTAAATTTCTTTACTTATTACCTGCAAACAATAGGTAACAGAGCTTGCCTCTGTTCTTCATTCCTCTTTACTAACATTTACTAACAGCTTGAATAAAATGCTATGATTTTTATGAAATTAATGGCTATAATAAGAACACTATTTACTATTTACTATTTTATATCCATCTTTTCCAACCTTACTACAAAGCTCTTTTTACTCTCTTTGTTTAAAATTTCAGGGTTTGCTTTTTGGGGGGTGGGGAGTAAAGAAAATGCATTCTCAAAGGGACACCAATTAAAACTATTAGCAAAAATAATCTTTTTTCAATATTTGGCAGTATCAGATCCTAACTAATGCTAATTCTCTAAAAAAAAAAAAAAGCAAAACCAGTCTGCAACAGTTCACACCCTGAAAATGTGGCCTATTTACCCTGAAAACATATAATCTATAAATAAATACATATAAAATACAAAAATCACATTTAATATTTAGACTCTAAATCCTGCATTTTGCCAAACTGTCTCATCATCATTTTCATTTTAAAATCTACCTTATGTTTCAGAAAAATAGCCTTCATCCTCTGATATTCTAAAAATAGACTCCTACTGTCTCTTTTACAAGAAACAATTACGCTTGCTTATGAGTTCTATCATTATTAGCCACATCACCAACACCTAAAATTCTTATTTAACCCCGTTTTTGGCAATCAAAATGGTAACTAAATATATTTTAGAAAAAAAATCTTACCTATATGCTGCATTTTCTTTCAAATGCAAAATGGTTAGATTCCCCTTCTACTTAATCAGTACAGTGTCTGAACATTTTTCAGTCTGACTTGCAAATATTTGCTTTCCCTCTTAGGGCATAGCATCCGCAGGGTTATACAGCACTACTTACATTCTCTTCCACATAAAAATCAGACATTACATGAAAGGAAAAGAAAGACAGCCCATTTCAAAGCATCTGGCAAACCTCCATTGGCAACCTGCCAAGCCTCTGCTAAACCTTCCTGTCTTTCCGAGCATGCTCACTTAAAACCAACAGCACGTTACTATGGCAACTCTGTAGGCAGCCTGTAAGTATGAACCGCCATTCTGATTTCAGAGTGCAAAAACCAAATACTGCAGGGGAAGTAAAAGGAAAGAAATATCATATGCCCTTCAACACATACAAGTATACTCATTTCATAAATTCGTATTTGTATACGTAAAACAGAAACAAGCATTCCACGTTTTCCAAGCAATATTTTTCATGCTCAAATAAGGTCTTCTTTTTGGTAAATTCATTCTCTTTGTCTGCCCCTAGGTCTCTTTACCTCATAACAACCAAAAATATACTGGACAGTTTACCCACTTGACAAAACACTGCTGAATAAACAGACAACAATATTCATATAAGCTATTATGTGGTAGTCTGTGAATAATTTCCTACAATTATAGGTTTATATCCTAAATGACATAAAATTACCAAAAAATCATTAGCACTTATAAAAACAATCTCTTCTATGATTTATCAAACTACCAAGTGAAATATTCCTTCAGTTTGGATAGGATTTTTTAATCCCCACTCTCCTTGAGATACTGTGCAATATCTGAAAGAAGTGAAGTTTCCAAGTTCAGACAGACCAGATCGGGGTTCAAATCCCTGTACTCCACATTTGAGTTATAAAACCTTAGCAAAGTTACTTAACCTTTGTGACTTTCACTTTCCTCACCTTTAAAGTAGGAGAATATCAGTTATTCCACATGGTAACACTTTAGATGAGTTAACACATGTAATATACCTAAAAGTTACATTTCTTTTCTCCAACGTTATTTGGAAAGTTTGTACTTGATTAACCTGAAAAGTTCTTTGTACCTTTTTTTAATTTTTAAAATTTATTTGACAGAGAGATAGAGGAAGAGAGAACACAAGCAGAGGGAGTAGCAGAGGGAGAGGGAGGAGCAGGTACTCGATCCCAGGACCCCAGGGATCATGACCTGAGCTGAAGGCAGATGCTTAACGGATTGAGCCACCTAGGTGCCCCTCTTTGCAACCTTTTTATCTGCTAAAAAAATTAGTTCTGATTTACCCACTAAGTTAGAATTCAAAGAGTCCACCATCCCCAAATCAATTTGAGCTAGAAAAAAACAAACAAATAATAAAGGGCATCTAAATGAGGGAAAATATACAAAGGCACTAATTTTTATTTTAGAGTATTAAATGTCTTTATGTTACAAATGTAAAATTTCACCTACCACCTCTTCCTCTTCCTTTTTGGCCTCCTTTTCCTTCTCTTCATCATTTTCTTCAGCTGGACCATCTTCATCATCACTACTGGATGATTCAAGAATTTCACTTATATCCATTTTCCAATTATCAGGAACAATTCTAGTTTTTAAGAAGATGCTTGCTTTCTGCAGCCCTAAGAATACACAGTTATGGAATTAGCAACATAGAATAATAGTATAACATTCAGAGTCAGAAGATCTGGACTCAAATTCAGCTGTCCCTTATAAAATGATATAGTAGACATCAACATATCTCATTCATGTTATATTAATGTTTATTACTCTAAAACATACTCTTACAAATATCAATAGTAAAACATGAAAACTTAAATATTATGAAATATTTTACCTAGCCATTAAAAAACAGCCATCAAATCAGAATTGATATTAACTCTAAACAATTAAAATGGCACCAAAGAATATTCAGTCTTGGTTCAGTCACTATTTGCCATTTACACCCACATCATGAAATAATGAATGGATTGATTCAGTCCTATTTTACCTGGTTTAGCAGAGAGCTCAGATTCAGGTAGATTGAGAATATCCACTTCCTTGATATCCTTTCTTGCTATAGAATAACTAATTATAGAGAAAAATAAAGGAGAGGGAAACCATTATTAAATAAATATTGTCACTGAAATGATTAACACATAGAAAAACATAAACTTCAAAATCAAAATAATTTTGGCATATAAAATGTTTTTAAAAGACCATGTATATCCTAATCATTAATGAAGGGCAAGAGGTAATTTAGGCAAAGTATCTTAATTCTTAAGATTTCATCTATTCAAAATACACTAATCAAAAGGCCTCACATTTTTAATATTTTAATTTATGCAACCTTCTCACAAACAGTATGGGGTAGATTATATCAGCATGATATTTTCCTTATGGAATGAATATACAATGTCCATTTCGATCTGTTTCTTAAATTTACTATTCAGTTTAGTAAAAAATAAAAATAGGTGATATTAAAATATTTTTATCACTGTAAGATATATTAAATTTTCTACAGAGAATTACATTCATACACACACACGCACATAATTTTTTTGTTAACATCCTTTTTGGGAAACAAAGCAAAGCTGAGATTAAAGAACGTTTCTAAAAATGTGACTTAATCAGAAAAACTGTCAAAATAATTATTTTAGTAATATTCTAAGAAAATTCTATGAAAATTTCATAGTTCAAAATATGCAATAGTACACAAATAAAAATACCAAATATTTATAATTGAAGAAACAACCAATACCATGCTTTATAAAACTTTTAAATGTTATTTTCACATATTATTAGTTTTTACATAAAAATTTTCAGGAAATAACTTACATTACAAAAGTAAAGCATATTACGTAATGATTTCTCAGTCCATGAAATGATCAGACTTTTAAAAATAAAGCTTGGACTGTGGAAGAGTCTATCGCTTAGGGGTTCATTTTCTTTTTCCCAATGTAACACTATTAAGTGACTCACAATTTAGAATCGAGAAATGATCGAACTAAACACTGGTCTTTTTTCACTGTGATGTCATCATTACAGCTGGGTGATATTACCTGAAATATAAAATAAGAACAGATTGTTTCCTAATTTCCCTTGCTCAAAAAATACATAATTTTTTGAAAAGAGTAATTCTGGATTCCCCCTCACTTCTCAAATGGATTATATTTTGTAAGAAATAGTTTCATTGTTAGTAATTTCCACTATAAATGAATTACTTAAAAAAGAAGGCTGCCTTGTAATTTTTATTTTAGCATACTGGTTTTCTATATATTTAATTTATTCAGTCATTAGATTATACAATGAATAGTTAATACAATATAAATTACACCGTGACCACCACTTTAAAAATTAGGATTTATTCTAACCTACATAATTCATTTATTGTCCAAAAGTAAAACATAAGATCTGTGATGAAAATTCGGCATGTTATAGTTTTTTAAAAACATTTCATTTATTGAGAGAGAGAGAGAAAGAGAGAGAGAATGTGAGGACGGGGGAAGCACAGGGAGAGGGAGAGAATCTCAGGCAGAATCCACAGAGTGCAGTGCCCAACTCAGAGCTCAATCTCATGACCCTGAGACCAGGACCTGAGCTGAAATCAAGAGTTGGACATTTAACTGACTGAGCTACCCAGGCACTCCAGCATATTATAATTTTTTAAAAATACACTTCAATCAAGATCTATTTTGAGGGGCACCTGTGTGGCTCAGTGATTGACTGCCTGCCTTTGGATCAGGTCATGATCCCATGGTCCTGGGTTTGAGTCCCACATCAGGCTCCCTGCAGGAAACCTGCTTTTGTCTCTGCCTATGTCTCTGACCATCTCTCTGTGTCTCTCATGAATAAATAAAATCTTTTTAAAAAAAAGATCTATTTTGAAATCTGCTATTTGTTCAAAAGAAACACCTAAATTCTAAAATAAACACCTAAGTTCCCTTTCTTACCAAAGTATTACAATTTTTAGTAATGAAAACAAATCAAAGAAAATCTGAGTAAAGAACTTTTTAATTTCTTAACTTTTAAAAATAACAAATGCCTTCACATTAGTAAATAGCTAATCTCTAGACATTCTCTATAGCACTTAATATTAAAGACCACTAATACACTGCTAAAATTTACCTGCTCACTATCACCCCTAACACCAGCCCCTCTGCTATAACCCAGCACCATCCACAGAACTTTATGCAATGATAGAGATGTTCTTTTTTTTTTTTGATAGAGATGTTCTATATCTGCACTGTTATGCATGTGAAATGTGGCTAGTACAACTGAGAGAACTGAATTCTTGATTCTATTTAATTTTAATTGTTACATTTAAATGTAAACAGTCACTTAGGACTCATGGCTCTCATATTAAACAGTATATATCCAGATAATTAAAAATTCCTGGCAGTCAGGACGCCTGGGTAGCTCAGCCGTTGAGCATCTGCCTTTGGCTCGGGGCATGATCCCGGGGTCCTGGGATCGAGTCCTGCACTGAGCCTGCTTCTCCCTCTGCTTGTGTGTCTGTCTCTGCCCCTCTCTCTCTGTGTTTCTCATGAATGGATAAATATAATCTTTAAGAAATAAAAGTAAAATAAAATAAAAATTCTTGGCAGTCATGCCAGCTGTCTTAGTATCAGATGGCAGTAAATGATTATCTGTTTGTTAGGTGCTGGTCACCACTATACTAATAATAGAGTTGTGTCTGTCCTTAAGGAGCTAACAGAATAATGGAGAGATAAACACAAAAAGAACACTATGGAGGATAAGTATAGAGATATGAAAACACCTAGGAAGAAGACTTAACCCAACCCAGGGATGGAAAAGGTACGGTAGCAAAGGCTTAAGGTTAAGTCTTAAAGGAAGAACAGGCTCAGTCCAGGACTAATTACCTCACCTGTGAACCACTAAATCGGCCTCCAAATTGATTCCTGCCATCCTTAGTCTTTCCAACAATCTACTCAACATACTATTGCACCTCATTAACATTCCTAAATATGCATCTCAAATAGTGTTACTGGAAAATTCTATGCAGAATTATGGCCACATTCCTTAACTGAACTTTTAAGTACCCTTCTACCCTAGATCCCAATTATCTTCCCAGTCTTATTTCCTATGATTCCCTTATTCATATCGAATATTTAGCCAAAATGGATTCCCAGAGCAAATAGTTCCACGAACAAACCCCTTGCTTTTCTGCTCTTTCTTATCTTGTTCCCTCTAAGAAAGTCCTCTAAAGAAGCTCTACTTAACTAACTTTAAATCCATCAAGGCTCAGTTATAAAGCACCAGCTTCATGAACGCTTTTCGGATTTCCTTTTTATACATGTCATCTCTCAGGACAAGAAATCCTAATGTTGAACATATACTACTGTATATATAGTTACTTGAATTATTCTCTGCACTAAAATACAAAATTATCAAACATGAGATTGGTGTCTTATCTTTTCTATATCACCTGGCAAATAAGAAGTCTGTTGAGGGATCCCTGGGTGGCGCAGTGGTTTAGCGCCTGCCTTTGGCCCAGGGCACGATCCTGGAGACCTGGGATCGAATCCCACATTGGGCTCCCGGTGCATGGAGCCTGCTTCTCCCTCTGCCTATGTCTCTGCCTCTCTCTCTCTCTCTCTATCATAAATAAATAAAATTAAAAAAAAAGACTTATTAAAAAAAAAAAGAAGTCTGTTGAGTAAATGAAGGAATTAAGGATTTTCAGACTTTTCTCACGTAAAGTAAATCTATTATATGTAGCATTTTTAAAAAAGATTTTATTTATTTATTCATAAAAGACACATCAAGAGAGGCAGAGACACAGGCAGAGGGAGAAGCAGGGTCCATGCAGGGAGCCGGATGCGGGACTCGATCCCAGGACCCCAGATCATGCCCCGAGCCAAAGGCAGCCACTCAACTGCTGAGCCACCCAGGGATCCCTATACATAGCATTTGAATAACATATTTATGTGCACATAAAACCTTAAAAAAAATGGCTTCGGTTCTTTAAAGGATCTAATTTGGGACATATTTTGTGCCAATGTTGTTATTGGAGATATATGTAATATCAAAATTGAAAATTCAGAAAATAAAATTCAGAGAAGGGACATAGTTATGTTAGAGGGGCTAGGGGAGACTGCAGAAAGGGTATGACTTGAGCTGACCTGTAGGACATTTAAGAGGAAAGGAACAGGAGAAAATGGAGACAGGTATAACCAAGTATTATGGATTCCTTTCATGAAATAATTTTCCTGCCCATCCTTTTTTTTCATTCCTTCCCCAAGTAAGCAAAGATTAGATTTCCCTACCAACCATTAAGACTTGCCATTTCCAAAGTTTAGGTGTATCTCTCCTTTCCCCAATACTTCCTGTCCTACTCTAGTGTCTGCACCAAGTTTTAAAAAATGATACAGGGGCACCCTGGGCAGCTCAGTTGGTTAAGCATTCAACTCTTGATCTCCGCTCAGGTCTTGATCTTAGGATCATGAGCTCAAGCCCTGTACTGGGCCTCATGATGAGCATGGAGCCTACTTAAAAAGTAAAAAGGACTGGGATCCCTGGGTGGCGCAGTGGTTTAGCGCCTGCCTTTGGCCGAGGGTGCGATCCTGGAGACCCAGGATCGAATCCCATGTTGGGCTCCTGGTGCATGGAGCCTGCTTCTCCCTCTGCCTGTGTCTCTGCCTCTCTCTCTCTCTCTCTCTCTCTCTCTCTCTCTGTGACTATCATAAATAAAAATTAAAAAATAAAAAAAATAAAAAGGACTACTTAAAAAATAAAAAGGACTATATAATTTTTAATTGCTATGTAATCTCTTGCATGTAAACAAGATTCTTGAGAGCAATGTGTTACAAGATTCATATTTCTCTTTCTTCTAAGGAACTTACAACTGAATTCACTGCATATGCTTAGTAAACACTAATTTAAAGCAAGAGTATAGGGCAGCCTGGGAGGCTCAGAGGTTTAGCGCCACCATCAGCCCAGGGTGTGATCCTGGATCACACTCAATCCAGGATGAGTCCTACGTCGGGCTCCCTGCATGGAGCCTGCTTCTCCCTCTGCCTGTGTGTCTGCCTCTCTCTCTCTGTGTGTTTCTCATGAATAAATAAATAAAATCTTTAATAAATAAATAAATAAATAAACAAACAAACAAGGGTATAAAGGTTTAGAAAAATGAAGTATTTTACATAGGGAGCAGTTAAGAACCTGAATACAGAGCATACACTGAAAATGGGAAACAAAGGGCTAGGATGGCCTCAAATATTCATCTAAAGAGTACAGAATTGATCCATTAGGCAGTTAGTGAAAGTTTGGTGGGGTTTTCTGGAGAATGTGACCATCATGATTAAATCAGTATTTTAAAATTGATTTCTCTATAAAAGTTGCTTCTAGAAAAATAGTCTGAATTTAGCAAAAAGTTCAGGAATTAAATTAAGAGAACCTAGAGGTAATTACCGTAAATCAAGTGTAAAATAATAATACAAATAGAGGAAAAAGAGACCACTGGACATATTTTGAAGGAAGAGCTGAAAGATCCCAATAAAAAAAAAAAAAAAAAGAAAGATCCCAATAAATAACTGGTTATACAAAATAATAAGAGAAGACAGTGAAGTATGTGGGACCTAAGTACAGTTGCTCAATTTTGCAATAAAATCCAAATTAAATTTGTATAATACTTTCAAAATATTTTAAATGCTTTTGAAAAATCCACGTTAAACAAATATTTTATTTATTTATTTATTTTAATTTAAACTAGACTTCATGCCCAACATGGGGCTTACACTCACAACCCAGAGATCAAGAGATGCATGCTAAACCAACTGAGTCAGCCAGGTACCCCCTTAAACAAGTATTTTAAATGGCTGATAAATTCTGCAAAGAATTCCTACTTACCAAAGCAGGATACCAATCAGTCTTCTCAGATGTAGATGCTACACTTACAACTTTTCCTAATAACTCATCATTGAGACGTCGCTTATCTTCATCTTCCTCCTCACTACTTTCTTCTTCCTTTTCATCTTCATTACTAAAAGTCAGAATAACTCTATCAGGATCTTCATATAAGCCATTGTTGAGAGAGTCAGAGTGGTGTGAATTTAACATGTATGATTCAATTTCTAATGAAGATTACTTCAGACTAGTAGTGTCTTCATTCTTATTGAAAATGTTTTTTTTTTAAAGATTTATTTATTTATGATAGACATAGAGAGAGAGAGGCAGAGACACTGGAGGAGGGAGAAGCAGGCTTCATGCAGGAGCCTGATGTGGGACTCGATCCCAGGTCTCCAGGATCACGCTCTGGGCTGCAGGCAGCACTGAACTGCTGCGCCACTGGGGCTGCCCAAGAACCATTCTTATTGAAATTGAAGAGATCGATAACTTCTCTAGTCCCAAAGTCGTCCATGGTAACTCTGAGTCCTTGTCACTAAATGAATGAGGATTTGGACTCAGTTCTTATGCCAACCAGCAACTGGGACTGAAAAGCCTAATTATGTTACCATGAAGTACCTTCTGTGCCAGATATGTTTTTTTCTTTTTTAAAGAGACTGTTCTTCTACGTTTTACATATGCCAGATGCCAGGTAATGTAACTCTCATTTCCTAACAGGTTATGAAAAGTCTCATTAAGAAACATGTGAGGGTTTAACTTAAGTTACCTAGACAATAAAATAAGCAGACAAACCTATATATATAGTATGGAAAAGTCTACTAAACTGGCCTGTACTCTTCAAAAATGTTAAGGTCATGAAAAGACCAAAAAAGAAAAAAAAAAGGCTGAAGAACTTTTCCAGATTAAAGGAGGTTTAAGAACCATATAAACTAAATGTAATGCATGGTTTTGGATTGGATCCTGGATTCAGGGGGTACTTATCAAGGCTACTATTAGACCAAGTAGCAAAATTTGAAATATGGATTATATATTATTACATAATAGCATTCCATTAATGTTAAATTTTCTGAATTTGAAAATATATTGATTACATAAGAGAATTTCCTTATTCTGAAAGTGTTTAAAGGTAGGTCTGATGCTTGCAATACCTCCCATATAGTTTGGCCAATTAAAATTACCACTAAATAAAAAATAATTATAATATGTACCTACAAAATGAATGATAAAGCAATTGTGCCAAAAAATTTAAACAATTAGTGAATTCAGATGATGAGTGTATGAAAGTTTACTTTTTTAAAGGATTTATTTACTTTCAGACCAAGTGAAAGGGAGAGAGTGAGTGTGTACAAATGCTGAGAACAGAGCCCAACATGGGGCTCAATCTCACAACCCTGAGACCATGACCTCAGCTAAAACCAAGAATCAGACACTCAACTGACTGAGCCACCCAGGTGCCCCAAAAGTTTATTGTATAGTTTTTAAGTTTGAAATGTTCTTGAAATAAAAAGGTTAAAATATATATATATATATATATATATATATATATATATATATATATACACACACACACACATACACTCACTTAAAATAGAAAAAAAACATTGTATCAATTAAGGAATTTGGCAAAGTAACTCAAGACAAAAACAGACTTTTTGAAACAGGAGTTGTGAATAATTCTTGGACAAAGTTATGGGAATAATTAAGAACAAGATCTGCTCAAGGTAAAATGCCTAACATAAGGATACATGATACTATGGAAAAGATACCTGAACAATTAATTTTAGCCATCCTAGAAAAATTGTTTGTTCAATGTTATAATTGTAACATTACTGTATATAAAAACACTCACACAGGAAGAGAGGACCTCCTTCCTCTGTTTGTCTTCTTTGCAATTACTGGAGTTCCAAAATGCTCTGGATTTGTTAAGGGAAGCTGGTCAAGTGTCTAGATAAGGAACAACAGACAAATTAAATCACATTTTACCTTGACATTGACATTAGAAGTTTTTCTTTAAACTCTTTTAAGATTTTATTTATTTATTCATGAAAAACACAGAGAGGCAGAGACATAGGCAAAGGGAGAAGCAGGCTCCCTGCAGGGAGCCCAATGTGGGACTTGATCCCAGGACCCTGGCATCACACCCTGAGCCAAAGGCAGATGTTCAACGACTGAGCCACCCAAGTGCCCCAACACTGGAAGTTATTCAACCCAGAAAGCCCATCCAAGTCACCCTACCTCACTCTCAGCAAAATGTCTCTCTCCTTTTAGGCAAAGTGAAGTGCGTCTCAGTGTTCTCTCATCACCATCATCAAACACTACAATAAGCAAGACATACCAGAGAATTTATGCACAGTAAGTAAAAACTCCACTGCAGAGGATGCTATTATTGCTATTTATCTAGGGCTTAATATTTATTTGTAAGAACATTATTTGTTATTTTGCAAAACTTTTTAAAATGAACATACTACATTTTTCATTCTGTAGCTGCCAAACAGATGCAGGTTAAATGACTGCCCTCAAATGCTTATTGTGTATCCATTCACTTGTTCAATTTCTATCCCTACAGAACCACCTTCTTGAAACCATCAGCAGTCTGGTCAGAACACAGATTATTAAATTATCTTTACTCCTACAAGAATGAGCAAAAATCTGGTTTTAAAAAAAGTATTATGAGTTTGTTCCCAGCAGTTACCAATGAAGTATCTCTAACTTCCAAAAACTATTTGCCTTCAGGTCACGCTTCTTGGATTACTGAACTCTTCCACTTATTTAAATGATAATTTACTATAGTAGAAGTACTGGCTGCCAAATTCTAAAGTCATAAGATTAAACTTTTTCTTTTTTTTTTATAAGATTTTATTTATTTATTCATGAGAGCCAGAGAGAAAGAGAGAGGCAGAGATATAGGCAGAGGGAGAAGCAGGCTCCCTGCAAGGAGCCCGATACGGGACTCAATCCCAGGACCCCGGGACTATGACCTAAGCTGAAGGCAGATGCTCAACCACTAAGCCACCCAGGTGCCCCTAGACTTTTTTCTTTTGCTAGAGGAGGATATAAGAAGTGAAGAAATAAAGGTTGAAACAAGGAAATATCAGAAAGATGAAATTGTTTTTAATTCAAAAAAGTCAGTTATAATTGCACAGAAGCTTCCTCAAAAGCTTTTATTTTTCCTACATTTAAAAAATATCATACTACATGGTAACTTTTTTTTACATATTTCAGGGAAATGGGGGTAAGGAATTTAACATTTTATCACTTTTATTCTCCATATAACTAGCTACTTATTTTTATAGGTTTAACTTTTCAGAAATGTACTCTTATTTTAACATCTAACATTTACAAAGTTTATTAAAAAGAAAATGCTCTCAAAAGACACCTGATTGCCCAGCATTATGAAGAAATAAAACATAAAAAGATGGAATCCTTACCTCAGGTACTTATAATGCAAAAGTCAATAAATGTTTGTGTATCTTATGAAAATAATATTTACACAGGAAAGCATATGCACACAAAAATAATTAAGATTTAATCCTAATATTCATAATTCTAGCTGTTTTTCCATTGTAACAGAGTAAGTTAGTGTTAAAGGGAAATTCTAAATCACTTTGCTTTAATAATATTTAATCATAAACCTATTTTTCTCATGCTAAGAACTTATGTGTAAGAGCACTCCACTTCTTCAGTATTTATCTACCTCAGTCAGTTCTTGTGTCTTAGACTAAAGACATCTAGTTTAAATTCTCTTACATGCAGGAGCCAATGCAGAGAAAATGAAAAGTTCCTGAAGCACATATTCAGAGAACCATAATGTTGCCACAAGAGGAGCTGTGTTATACACTGTCAACGATGCAGAAATTAATGACCACCTGCAGACACAATGACAGGATAAAACACAACATCCTCCAACAATTACATTACTAATCTACATGTGATTAACAGCGCTCTAAACATTTGTAATCAAATTATGATTCATAAGGTATCCTCAGGTCTAATAAATAAACCACTGTTCTTTTAAAAATTGAAGATCACGAAATTATTGTACTAAACTTAAAATAATTCATGTGAGTATTAATATCCATAAGTATATTAAATAATAGAACCTTAGAAGTTCCAATTTTCCTTAATGCCTACAATATGAAAAAGATGTTAACAAAGGATATATACACTCATGCAGTTAAGTGGAGGTATGAGGAAAGAAAATGAGACTATAAGACTAATCGATAATATCAAATTTATGCAACAAAATGTTTTCCACAATGTTTCATCATTAATCAATAGCAGCCCCAAATCAAATGTTCTGATGAAAAATTAACAATATCTTTAGCTTTTTTTTTCTTTTAAATAATCACTTTGAAATAAATCAGATTTTTTAAGGGAAAAATGCATTTCACTTCAACATACTTTATCATGGATAGAAGTAATGTAAGAACCAAAAACAACTTCTCAAAGGGAACTGTGGTACCAACAACAATTTTACAGTTTTTCATAGGAACACTTACAACGTTAAGTGAACAAAGAGAAACAATTAAAATTTTTAAATTTAGTAATTTTAAATTATTAAATTTATTTTTTAACACATAAAACTATAAAAAGGTATGTATTTAAGTATTTCAAACAAGTTTGGTTTTTTTTTTGTTTTGACTTCAAACAAGTTTGAAAAGCTATATAAGCATTCAAGATTTTCTGAAAGACAGAAAACCCAACAACAGTCATGACATCCCTGATTATCAAAATCATGAGGAAGTTCCACCTATATGAAGCATCCTCTCAAACTTTAATATTAGAAGTATCATATAAAGAACAGCAAAACTATAGGCATTGAAGAGTGACTCTGGCAATTTGATGAGTGAAATAAGTAACTGGTGTATATAGTAAATTTAGTTCTTTTTAGTTCAAGATGTATACCACAGCATGCCAAGAGTGAAAAAGCCAGACTATAAGAATTTAGTAATTCGGGGATCCCTGGGTGGCTCCGTGATTTGGTGCCTGCCTTTGGCCCAGAGTGTGATCCTGGAGTCCCAGGATGGAGCCCCAGGATGGAGTCCCAGGATCAAGTCCCACGTCAGGCTCCCTGCGTGGGGCCTGCTTCTCCCTCTACCTGTGTCTCTGCCTCTCTCTCTGTATGTGTCTATCATGAATAAATAAATAAAAAATTAAAAAAAAAGAATTTAGTAATTCTATGAAATGTTTTATACTTGCCAAAACTGGCATCTGAATAGACTATTGAGTGCAGAAGAGTACAAAAGTGATATCGCTAGGGGTGCCTGGGTGGCTCTAGGCTAGGCATCTGCCTTCAGTTCAGGTCATGATCTTGGGATCCTGAGATTACCTGGAGATGGGGAGGGCGGTGTCCCTGCTCAGCCTCTCCCTCTGCTCCTCCCCATTGCTGTGCTCTCACTTTCTCTCTTGCTATCTCTCAAATAAATACATACAATCTTTTTTTAAAAAGTGGTATCTCTATTATTATGTTACATATAGATACTAAAACTTAATTTGAGAAGAATGATAAAGCTAATGTTGATCGTACTAGACAAAACAATGCCTATGCAAATAAACACACAAAGCCTAACTCTAAACTTTTAGAATTAAAAGAAACAAAAGAAACAGGGATCTAACTACTAAATACAAAAGCTCCACCTGTGATTGTAGCACTGTTAGATGCTGGAGGATAGTAAGATAACAGTAAATTAGCTAATTATATCTTTGGAGAGATAAAGTTATCACTTATTAAGCTTCTATCATGTCCTAATCCTCACAACAGCCTCTGCAAGGGAGGAATCACTATGCTTCTTTTATAAAGAAATGGAGAATCAGAAGGCTGCAGTTTCGTTAGGGAGATCAAAATGCATAATAAAGAGGTATGAAGCAGAGGCATAAAATGAGCACAGGAGGGGCACCTAGCTGGCTCAGTCAGTTAAGCGTCTGCCTTCAGCTCAGGTCATGGTCCTGGGATTGAGCCCTGCATCGGGCTCTCTGCTCAGCAGAGAGCCTATTGCTCCTTCTCCCTCTGCTATTCCTCCTCTTTGTGCTCTGTCAAATAAGTAAATGAAATCTTTAAAAAAAAAAAAAAAAAAGAACATAGGAGAGAAAGTCAAGAATTTTGACTTTACAAAAAAATATTATACCTGTGTAAAGCAATTATAATAAAATACTCATATATATACAGTTTTATGCTCATACTTCACATAATAGAATATTTTAAAATTACATATCTTAGGTATAACCAATGGTTCTGTTACATAAAATCATCTGTGATACAGAAGTCCCTCTGCAACCAAAGTCAAAAACTCCAGAAATTAGCACTCAAATGTATAATGAAATTGACAAAATATAAGAATGCTAATTCTTATGGAAGGCCATTTAAATAAGTTAAAGTGTATTACAGGAACGGATAGATTTCTGTTTGCTTAGTACTTTTTTCTTAATTATTTTCTAGTCAGTGGAATAACCACCTGGTTTTGAAAACATTTGTGGTCAACTTGGTTTTTAAAAGTCTTGTCATAAGAGGTTCTAAATGAATTAAAAAGCCTTATAAGCCTGCAGCACTTTCTACATAAGTCAGTCCTTTCACCAGTTTAATCCAAACCTCTTCTACTCTATTAACTAGAACTTCCATGAGATCTGAACCAACTGACATACAAAACATAACTATAAGGCATGAAAAAATCCTGAGTCTTAAAAAGCATTTGTCACAAAAAAAATAACCAAATAGATTTTATTAAGATTTTAATTTTTTTAGATAGTGTATACATAATTTTTTTAGATAGTGTGTGTGTGTGCAACGATGGAGAAAATCTCAGGCAGACTCCATGCTGAGTACAGAGCCTGACACAGAACTCAATTTCATGACTCTGAGATCATGACCTGAGTGGAAACCAAGAGTCAGATGCTTAACCAACTGAGTAACCCAGGCACCCCATAATCAAATAGATTGTAGTGTAAAATTTGATAGATTATATATGTGTATATGCATTTTATATGTAAATTACTAAAATTAATAATAATTCTGTCCTTTACATTTTCCCATTTTTCAAGTACAATGTGGTTTTTAAGACTTTTTAAATTTATTTATTCATGAGAGACACAGAGACAGAGAGACAGAGAGAGGGAGGCAGGGACACAGGCAAAGGGAGAAGCAGGCTCCATGCAGGGTGCCCGACGTGGGACTCGATCCTGTGACCCCAGGATCATGCCCTGGGCTGAAGGCAGTGCGAAACCACTGAGCCACTCGGGCTGCCCGTCAATGTGTTATTTTTATATTCCAAAAAAGGGAAAGATGAGTAGTTTTAGAACATGTTATTGACAGCTGTATCTACCAGGAGTTAATGGCAACATTGAAGTGAAGATACAAATTCCAATCCTAATTTTGAATGACCAAGGATAACTATACACTTTCATGTATCACAGGCTCCTTTCCATTCTTGCATAAACTATGCTAGGAAGCACTGTTTTATGATACGAAGAGGAACTATTTCCAAGGCTCAAAAAAAAAGAAAAAGATCCATAAACTGGAGCTATTTATTATTCAACATTAGAGGAAAAGGTATTAGATTTTTAAAAATTAGGTTATATTAGACCTATAATCTCTTTCAAAATTGGTTATTTAGCTATCATAGGAAAAACACACATTATATATTATCAAACTCATTAGATAACTTTTGATCACCAATGATCATAACCCTTTTTTGAGCCAAGCCAGTAGGATGGTATCCTCTTCTTTCATTTTTAATAGTCAAATTTTGAGGTCTCTTAAAATAAAAAATTGATATGGAGATCAATACTTTCTAGAACTTTCTGATCCACCTATATAATACTTGAACAGAAATTAGAAATCAAGAAAAATTTCAGAAAAAAGGAATTAAACTCAACAGATAGTAATCACTCAAAGAAAAATATAGAAGGCACGGGACCTGTGAGAGAGGACACATTTTATTTGACATCTTTTAACCTCATTATACTCAATTCATTCTTTATATGGGCTACATCATTCAATACCTAAATATTCATTATAGCAGAACGCTATATTGAACATACTTAAAGTGAACAGTGGTTTTTAGCATCTTAAATTTTTAAGGTCACTTGCTATCATTACACAGATGCAAAAAACTTAATTTTGAACATTTCTCCTGAATAAGTCTCTGTTTCTCCAAGTAGTAACTATTTTACTAAATGTGTACTACCTGCATTAAATGCACCCAATGTAATTATAAAAAGAAAGATTCTTGGGTTGCCATCCCCAGACCTACTAAATTGAAGAGATCTGAAATCCTCAAATCCTCATTTTTTAAAACAAGCACCAATGATTCTTATGTACACTAATGCCTGATACACAAATTACAAGCAATTAAGATTCTAAGATCTTTCAGAACAAAAATTATACAATTTCTTCTGTAATTACCTATCATAGAAAATCACCATAGGAAAAAAAAATCACCATAGAGAATGCTCAGTAGCAACTAGCTTTTAGAATGCTAAAACGTCATTCATATAGAGGATAAAGATCTCCTATTCTGGAGTGCAGAAGCCCCAAATGCAAAAACCTGAAAAGTTATCACCTCTGCAGAAGCATAAGCATTGTATCAATAAAACTGCACAAGTACTATCAATGCAACCTTGATATCAAATACCAAATAGAAAGCAATACAAGTATTTGAACATGCATCATATAATCTTCCACAATTTTGCATATATGAATGCCTATAATTTTTACCACTAGTATAATATAGTACAATTGTATTTACTTGATCTCTAACAGTTAGCATTAAACTTAGTTTTTAAATCTCTAGCAACTACCAACAGCTACAACCAAGCTTCCTAAAAAATACATAGTTCAGAATAACAGCACCGATGTGAACCAACACCAATTTCTAGGAGGCCCAAGAAGAATAAAAATAGTTAGAAAACAGTAGTTACATACAAGAAATTGGTACTACTAATAGAAGCCACAGAGTAAGACACAGGAAGTAGAATTTTTAACCAAAGCATGTTCTTCACAGCTTCAGTAATTTGCCTGAAAATGAATGATTTTTACCCAAAGTAACAAATCACGTAAAAAAGTAAACCTACAGGATCAAAAAAAGTAAACCTATAGGATTATTTCTTTTCCTTCATGAAGGAAACCACACTATAATTACATCACTTATACCAGACATAAATGTAAAGACCAAAAAATGTTATAGATGTTCAGAGTAAAACAAAAGGCTGGATGTTATCCACAGGACTGTGTTGAATGTATGGAGAAGAGATGTGGAAATGTTAATCATTGCTATTCTCAATATAATGACAGCAACTATATACTGCATTTAGGTTTTAGCTTACATGTATTAAGTCACTTGTTGCTGCTCACTACAATAAAGTTTTTTAAAGCCAGTGTAAGCTTATGTATGGAATGTTAAGTATGCATTCACAGTAGTAGCAAATATATCTTTCCTGAAAGGTGTTATGGAGACTTGACGAGACCAAAAATCAAAACTTAAGCTATGATCATCTAGATTTGAATCTACTCTGGCCAGAATATTTTTACTCTTTAAATTCTGTGCTAGCATCTATATTACCTTATGTAAAACAGGTAGCAATATAATAAAAGATTGCAACTGTACAATCTTAATTGTAATTACAGGAAAAGTAAAACAGTCTGATTACTTACAATACTAACTTGTATCGAATTTCTAATGGAAGAAAATAACCATATAATTTGATGTTCTTGAACATAAATAATCTAGGTAGCCTAAAAAAGAAATACATTCTTGGATGAAATAGCCACAAGTGATCAAAGAGGTAGTTATTATTTTTGTTAGCAGATGTCATTAAAATTTTAGCCAACTATATCCAGTAAACTGACAGAACACATATTTCTCTGCCAACATGATTCACTATATACTTATAAAATAAAGGTATATGGAACTCCAAGTTAGGTCCTATGTATTAAATTAACTACTTACCCACAGTATACCAACTAGCATCTGTCAACTTGCTGATAATAGCCTCCTGAAAGGATCCATCAGATGTCCTTGTTTCAACAATAGCTCCAACCTAAAACAGCATCAAAATTTCATTACCAAAACAAAACAAAACAAACCCAAAATTTCATTACCAAATTTAAAGAAACCAAATCACTCCCAACTATATGACCTGGATTAAAAAGAAAAAATATCTATGATAATTCTACCATACATTCGCATAGATCTTTATCATTTATAGTGTTGATATATTTATCGTGCAATCTGAATGCCAAAACGCATTGGCACAAGTAAGTTAGTTATTATTGTCCTTATTTTACACATTGAAACTGTGGATCAGATGAGATGATAAGAACCAGTTTATTAAATCTTACTTCAGAACTTTTGTACTACATCACACTGCCTTCAAGGAAACTGTGCAATTTAAGCATAAAAACCGTAAGAGTAAGACTAGCTTTAATTTTCTTTCACAGAAACACTGAATATTGGATTCAGCATTCATATTTAAGGGATCTTTTAGACAAAGGTTCACCTGGAGAGAAATGGATGGACCAGCTGACCTTCCAGCTTCAGATATTTCAGTATATCAGATATTAACCGAAACGGTACTCTGACATAACAAAGATTACATAAACAAATGGCCAGAAACGGAACAAACACGAAATAGGTACCCACTAAACTGAATTATGGAGGCAATATACTTACTTGGTAAGTTAGAACAACAGAAGATTCATCATAGTTATGATACTAGTATATTACTTAGCAGGCTAAATATTTCTAACAATGAAAAATAAAAAGAGGCATTCAAGATTTCAAAACAAAAAGTAGCTGAAAACTCATGTTTATATATACTAAGTTACCCTCTGTAAGATGATTTTTCTTTTTTTTATTTATCTTTCTAAACTAAGGATACAGCCAGTGTAATATAATTCATTACAACATTTCATTTGTATTTTTGTTTCCTGATTAGCATTCTTATAAATTTTAAAACTATCTACAAATGTAAAATTCAATAATTTATGCTATGTATTTGTGATTTATCATTACGGATTTTAAACTGCAGAACATACGTACTCTTAAAGGACCCTTTACTTGGTCATCTTGCACCAATTGTGTAGTATTATCCTGTTTCAGGAGTACCTGGAAAACATTTTTGCACAGTAATTTGCATGTTACTTTTAAAACGACATGTTTGTGATGTCTTTAATCTATGCGTTTTTAGCATCCTGTGCTTACTTCTGTTTTAAAGCTCCCTACACTGTCTTATATTTATGTTTATTGTCTCTGTCATTAACTGTGAGCTCCTTGAGGGCTAGAATCCTTTTTCATCACTGTATCTCCACCAGTTAGCAAATGTCACTGAATATTATAGGCACTTCATAAATGTTTGCTGAATTAATGAACTATACAGGATTTATACTTTGTAGTGATTATTGTAAAAGTTTAAAACTGCCTTCATTGTTTCTTATCAACAAGTTATAAAAGGTTCCGTCACAAAGTATATAAAAAAACAGTATCAAACTTTATTGACCACATGCAAGGTAGACAAAACCAGAACACCGTTGGTCCTTTATAAAGTAAACCTAAGTAATCATGATACGCAGTTCAGTTACAAATAAGTACTTTTTACTATAAATTCTCCCAAATATACAGTGTAATCATTCATATAGTGCAAGTACCCAAATACGAAAATTGAAATTCTACATAATATATGTTTAAGACCTCCCCAATCACTGTACTGATTTAAATAAATGTATCAAAAGCCACAATATTAAAAAGTTTAAATTCTCAAAGAAGTCCAAGTAAGTATTTAGTAATCAGATCTCACATAGCTGACACGGTAAAAAGGCCAAATGAAACAAAAAAGAAATGTCAAATTATATTGTAACAATACGTTAAAAATTTCACCAGCAGTTCAAAATTTAAACAGAAATCGTATAATAATCATGGATACAACACAAATCATACTCTTCTAGTTCAGTAGTTCTCAAACTTCAACATGCAGCAGAAACTCTTGAAAGGCCTGTTAAAAAACAATCACTGGACTCTCCTCCCAGAGTTTCTAACTCAGTAGGTCTGGGGTCTGGACCTGAGAATTTGCACTTCCAACAAGTTCCCAGATGAGGTTGATGCTGCCAGTCCAGGGCCACACTTAGAGAATAACTCCTCCAGTTCATTTATTCATTCACCTACTATTTTGAGTGCCTACTATATATCGAGCACTACACTAGGCACTGAGGATAGAACAAGTCAAACATTTCCTCCTTTTATGGTGCTTAATTCTTGTAGGAAAAGATCAGATATGGAAGTGGAAAGCAAATTACAAAACTGAAAGTACAACATGATCCAATAACAACAATAATAATAGTGTTATGGTAGGCACTGTACAGTATCTGACAGACCATATCAAATCTCTGTGGTGTAGTATCAAAGAGGACATTCATCAACTTTATTACATAGCTCAGTAATGTTAGAGATGTTTATAATAAGATTATACTTGTAATCCAAGTAAGATTATTAAAAACATTTATATAGGAAAACTACTGGACAGACAAAAATATTAATAGTAGCTTCTGAGAGTTAAGCTATGGGTATTAATCCTTTGGTACTTTTCTGTATTTTCAAATAATGTACAGGAATAATTGGTGACTTTTTTTCTGGTCATAAAAGCATCTTAAAAATAAAATTCTTAAATCATCTTTAATACTGTCTTGAACACAATTTCCACTATATTATTTTTCCTAATCACTTGAAATTGTCTCTACCTGAACATTATGAAAGGGAGGAAAATAGATCACAACCTAAGTAAGTGCGCCACAACAGCAGAGAGCCAAATAAAAGGAAGTCTCATAAATATGGTATTTTCAGAGAAGCATTTTGGAATAACTTCTCATTTTGAGTTCTTTATTTCTTAATGTGCTTTCCCTATAGTTTTGTATGTAACAGTGCTTTCACCTAATAATGAGTCAATAAGTGAAGTAATGATTCAGTAAAATATTGATTTAAAGTCTCCCCTTTTCCAACTCTCTTCAATCCAGGCTGCATTAAAAAAAAAAAAAATTACCTTAACTTTTACCAGCCTTTTCACAGTCTTAATTTTTGCCTCACAGAAGGCACCTCGGTACTTGGCACTGACGTCAGTTCCCACTGTCAGGTAGGCAGGCTCATCCGCCGCCTGATGAAAGAACATAAAATGTGAATGTCACTACTACTTTTCCCTCCTCCAACTTCAAGCCTCATTAAAAGGTTCTGTATTTAAAGTAGTAAAAACAGGGGATCCCTGGGTGGCTCAGCGGTTTTAGCGCCTGCCTTCGGCCCACAGCATAATCCTGAAGTCCTGGGATCAAGTCCCACATCAGGCTCCCTGCATGGAGCCTGCTTCTCTCTCTGCCTCTCTCTCTCTCTCTGTATCTCTCATGAATAAATAAATAAAATCTTTAAAAAAAAATAAAGTAGTAGGGATCCCTGGGTGGCGCAGCGGTTTGGCGCCTGCCTTTGGCCCAGGGCGCGATCCTGGAGACCCGGGATTGAATCCCATGTCGGGCTCCCGGTGCATGGAGCCTGCTTCTCCCTCTGCCTATGTCTCTGCCTCTCTCTCTCTCTCTGTATGACTATCATAAATAAATAATAAAATAAAAAAAAATAAAGTAGTAAAAACATTAATATTGTTTATGAACATTATTAATAATTTGGAAAATACCCCTAAAGCAAGCAATTATATTCCTTTACTACATAAACTATATCCTGACAACAAAAAACACTTTAAGTTGTAACTGAGAAGTACCAGTAAAGACATATGATAATCTTCAGATACAAAATGTTTCAACAATTCTATAATTTATGAAATGAACATATTTTAAAAAAACAAACAGGGGCACCTGGCTGGCTCAGTTGGTAGAACATGTGACTCTTGATTTCAGGGTGGTGAGTTCAAGCCCTGTGGTGGCTGTAGAGCTTACTTGAAAAATAATAACACAAAATATTTAAAAAAAAAAAACCTCCAAAACCAGAAAAGGCATATTCATAGTAAGTGTCCCATAAACATTAAGGTATTTACTTATGGCCTAAAAATTTTGTTTTCAAATTAGAAGAAATACTGCTGTTAAGATTAATGCTAACAATACCTAGTTAAATGTTTATGGATATAGCTCCATTAAGGCAGTATCTTTTTGGATACAGTATAACTGCACCAGATAAGAAATGAAGCTAATCCTTTCGATAAGGAGGGCATTATTTGGGGGAATCATTGGCTAAAAGCTACATTAAAGAAAACCTAAGTCTAAATTCAGCTGATAAATGCAGAGATACGAACTAATGGCTCAAAACTTGATGCTGTACCTAGTTTATCACAGTTATCTTTTTGGTATATAAAATAAAAAGTTTTACCAAAAAACATCTACTCTTAGCAAACAGCCATGATCAGAATGATACACTGAAAGAGGGAATTTCATTCTACCATTCATTTTGATCTTGACGTAACAGAATGATTGTTATTCTGTTTGCCCTTTTACCTATTATTTTTTTCAAAAGTTAAATGTATTCCCGTAGGCTCGATTCAATATTGCTAAGTGCAAAGGTAACAGTGTACACTTCAGAAATGACACTTTTGAGTAGAAAACGACTTTTCCTTTTCCAATAAGTTATCCCAAGTAACATTAAATAAGATAGTGTGTCATTTCCTGGAGGTAGAAAGAGAAAGTCTGGAGAAATGCTGTGTTTCAGAGTTTAATATGCTGAAACAGTAAATGGGTAAGGAATCAAGTACCTTTTCAAATTAGTGCATTTACGAGTAACGCAACTCAAAGAGCAACACTTTGGCAAAAAATATCTGACCTGAAACATTCAATGCCACTGCACTAACACAATGCTACAACTTCCTTTCCCTTTAAACATCACAAAAGATGTCTGCTCTATTAGCTATCTTCAGAAGAAGATAACTTTTAGGTTGAATAGAGGTCTTAAAATATTTATTATAATGACCGAACTAAAACAATAGTTTCAGTTCACCTTCAAATATCTTAGCTACAGAACGTTTCACAGAAAAAACGATATCTCCCTTACACAATGCATATATATATATATATATATATATATATATATATATATATATTTCATTCCTTCCTTAGCAAATCCTACTGGCACGGAGGAAGAAAAAAAAATTTTCAAAAAAAAAAAAAAATCCCCCAAAGAACCAAAACAGGACGAAAGCTTTACTTCTGCAAAGGTTGTGCTGCCAACACAGGAAGTGTTTAAAAATACTAGCCCAATGGACAACAATGGAAAGGCTGGTGCAGCCTTTCCAAAGTGCTAACTGCTTCAGAGAGGGGCCGGACTGACTGCATTAGACACAATGATCATTTCTCACCCTTTCAACACGTCCTCAGTTTCAGAAAGCGCTGCCTGGGTAGAGGAATCAATTGCGAGTAGGGGAAAAAGAAAAAAAAAAAAATGACATTCCACAGTACCAGCCTCACGACAAGCAGTGTCCAGGGCACGAGGTTTCAGAGGAGCGCCGAGTCCACTTACCTTCATTTTTACTGGCGATCTGTGGGGTTCCAGCTCCACGAGAGCTCGCTCCTCCGTCGCTGGAACCGCGGGGAAGGGAAAGACAGGCACAGAATCAGTCCACAGAGGGGAGCGACCCAAGGGGAGAAAGTAAACAAACGCCAGCGGGGAGGGGCAGCACCCTGGGTCACCGGCGGAGGGACAGGAGCCCCCGGAGGACAGCCCGGGACGCGGGAGCCGAGGAAGCAGCGAGAACCCCTCGGGCGCCAAAGGGCAGCCCGCTCCTCCCGGAGTTCGCCGGCGGCCCACCGCGCCCCCGCCGCGCTCGCCACTTTGACCCGAAATGCTCAACTTGGAGCCCCAGCACCGAGCGCTCTGGGAGAGGGCCGGGAGCCGTCTGGGCTGCCCAGCTGCCCCCCCAGGCAGGGTCGCCGGGCTCTCGCTGCCTCCCCGCCCCCCCCGCCCCGACACCCCGACTTCGGCCCGCGCCCCGCCTCCGCCGCTCGGCCCCCTCGGCCCGCCCCGGGCCCGCGGTGGCGGCAGCGGAGTGTCACGGCGCCATTGCTATCCTTCCTCCGCTCTGCACCATGTCAGAAAGCAGAAGCGCTTCTTCGCCGATGGGGCAGGGGCCGCGGCCTTCAGCCCGGAGGCGCGAGAGTGAGGGGAGACCCGCGCGAGGCGGGGGGCTGGAGGGGGGGCGGAGAGGGGAGGAGGAGGGGAGGTGGCCGGGAGAGGGTGTGGGAGGGGAGGGGAGCCGCACAGCGGCAGCCGCCGCCTCCTCCCCGCGCCCGCCTCAACTTTTTGTACAGCCCGGAGAGGTACCTGCCCCCGGCCCCTCTCGGGTCCTGCCACGACTCCGGCGGGGAGGACGCGCCGCGGAGTTGGGGGCCGGCTCCCGCGAGCAGCCCGCTCCTCGCCGCGCGGAAGCAAACTTAGCGGCGCGGCCAGCCCCACAGCCATTTTCCCGGGGAAGCGGCCGAGGAGGCGGCTGCGCCGGCGGTTCCTGCAGCTGCCGCGGCTGCTCCACGCCTCGCCCCTTCCCCTGCGCTCGCCGCACCGCTTGCCCAGCACCCCCGCCCCACCTCCGAAGCTCCCAACTGCACCGGGACCCCGGGCAGCGGCACGAGCTGCTGCTGCCGCTCCGTCCGCTCAGTATCCCCCACTCCCCCCCTCCCCACCTACCAACTGCGGGCCAAGTGCGCGCTGTCAGCCCCCGGGTCCTCCGCCCCGCTGACCCCCGTGGGCCCCCGTCCGGGCAGCACCGCTCCCGGCCGCGGCGGCAGTTCCTGCGCCCAGTTCCCCACTCGCCCGATTTACTGCCACAATCCACCAAATAACAAGCTGTTGAGCAGACTCGCTTCTACACGAACTCCCATTGGCTGCCCATGACGCCGAAGAGCTTCGGATTGGAGCTCGCTCCCTGCCGTCCTCATTGGATGCAGCTACGAAACTCCACGGATTGGTGCGAAAAACAGCAGGTAGGACATCTTCCACTTGTGATTGGCTGTCTCCGAAGGCTCACGTTACTGGAGAATCGCGTGTTGAGTAAGCAGGTCCTGAAAAACGATTGGCTGAGGAGACTCCGGATGTGCTTGACTGAGCACTGATTGGTAAGATGAGGGGTCAGGAAGAGCAGTCCGGCGCGAGGATTGGCGGCGAAGTGTCCCATGGAAATCGAACCCGGAGCTGCGGCCAGGATTTGCACGGGGGCGGAGCAGGGTCTCTCCAAGGCGCCTGCGCTAAGCCGGCTTGTCGGCGCCATTTTGTCTGAGCGGTGGCGGTCGCAGCTCTATCGCATTTTACGTTTCTGGCGAGGAGAGACCCGGGTCTCTATCCCGCAGATGCATGTGAGCGCGGCACTTCTCCGCCGTTGGCTCCAGGACAGCACCTAGCGAAGGTCGGAGGAGTCGCGGACCTTTCAAAAAGGTCGGTTGGAAGCTGTGGGTGTCCGAGTGACGGGGGGATGGCGCAGCTTTAGCGGCACCGGCACCGGAAGTGGACGGGCCGCGCGGCAGCCATGGCAGAGTAAGGTCTCGCTGCGGCGGGGTGGGGAGCGGGGTGAAAGGGGGCGAGGCTTGCTTCCTCTCCCGCCGCGCGAGAGAAAAGGGCGGAGGAGACGTGCAGGGCTCTTTCTCCAGGCTGGTCCTGTGCACGCCTCTCCAGAGATTTTTCTGGCGTCTCCTCTCCGCTCACTTCTTCCTCCTTTTGGAAGTGCATTTCGGGAACTTGTCACATTTTTCCAGCCGAGTGTCACCAGCTAGCTGTGGGCGCCTCCTTAATTAACACGGGAGAAGACAAGGTGCTTGCTTAGACCCATTTGCGTGGGGGGGGGATAATTTCCGCGTGCTCCTCACACGATTAAGCGTTGAGGAAACTGCGGAAGGCTTCAGGGTGTGGAAATCGGGAGCAAGCCCAGACGCTGCTACTCTAACCATTAAGAGGCGGCTGTGCCCTTCAGGACGAGGCTTGCTTAGGCTACTCTAAGAGGAAACGGTAGTGCTTTTGTTGGGACCGAAAGCACCTTAACTAAGCACGTCCCTGGTGGGGGCAGCCGTTGGTTTTGTTCTTTTCGCAGAATCTGTGTGTTCTGTTGAACAAAATACGTTTGAAATGGTAGAAAGGAAGTATGAATTGGCAAGATGTTTTAAAGAATGAAATTTTAAAATGTGGAATATCGTCGATGATCCGCATTGACTAAATTTACTCAGAATAACCACCTAACTAAAATTTTCATTCATAGCAGTGGTTTCCTCTCGAAAAGTGGGATGTGGGTATTTTTGAGTGACCTAAGCTGAGCACACTGGTCTGGATAATTGCTTAAAGTTATTATCCTAATACCTCTCTTTTGAACCCTGTTGAGCTGGTGGGTCTCCAGACTAGAAACTATTGTGTGATTTAACAACTTGTTTTTTTTTTGTTTTTTTTGGCAGTTGGTACAAAGAAAACAAGATCTCTCGGTGGCATATCCTAAGTATTAACTCAGGTGAGTTACAATTTTTTTAAAGGTTTTTTTTTTATTTTTATTTATTTATGATAGTCAGAGAGAGAGAGAGAGAGAGAGAGAGAGACGCAGAGACACAGGCAGAGGGAGAAGCAGGCTCCATGCACCGGGAGCCCGACGTGGGATTCGATCCCGGGTCTCCAGGATCGCGCCCTGGGCCAAATGCAGGCGCTAAACTGCTGCGCCACCCAGGGATCCCGAGTTACAATTTTTGTGAAAATCTTTAGAATTAGGTAGACTGTGTGGGAAAACTTTTATGGACCAGTGTTGTGTACCAATAGAGCTGTAAATAGCAAAATGGAAGAATGGTGGTTAAAAGAAGCATGGTTTGGCCGGGGTTCAAATGAATCTGTATAATTAGCTTCCTGATGTGATATTGTAGAATGAAATCTCAAAATTAGTACGTATATATAAATTTATTCATTCATGGAGTTCCCATTTCTGAGTTTTTAAGTATTAATATTTTTGTCAGAGAATGATACGAACATTTTTATGGTTTCTTTCTTCCTAATTAAAAAACTTGGCTTGTGGAAAAGATATGTCAGTAGAAATTTAAAGAGAAGTGATTTACTTTATCTTAATAAAATAATAAAACAACATACTGCTGAACTTCCCAGGGGGTAATCACCTATAATTCCACTTAAAACTTACTTTTTGATCCAAATAATGCAGGTCAGTGGCATTGGGAAATTACTAAAAAAACCCAAAGAAAAAAACAAAAATCTCTTGTATTCCTTTCACTAAAAGGTAATTATAGTCTATGCTGTAGTTGTGTATAATACAGAGGAGTTTCTCTTCTTCATAAGATAAAGGTCATTCTAGTCGTGCTCATTTTCTCGCTTATGTTTTTTTCTGTATGGAAAATACTGTGAATATGGGAAACATTTTGCCTATAAAGCATTTTTCATGGTTGCATAGTATTCTATAAGATAGATGTACCATACTTTATATAATCTGATACCTTAGTTTTTCTACAATAGCAGTGATATGTTTGGTATCCTCATTCATGTTTTACAAAAGATTTTGCCTGAGAACTGATGTCTGTGGCTAAAATACCTAGACATCTAGATCTTCATTGTGCATTTCCCTTTTATTTTTTCCCCGTTTTTTTCTTTAGCTTTATCTTTTAATTTTTCTCTCCAATTTTTTTTAAAGCTTTTATTTATTTATTCATGACAGAGAGAGAGGCAGAGACACAGGCAGAGAGAAAAGCAGGCTCCATGCAGGGAGCCGGACTCGGGACTGGATCCCGGGTCTCCAGGTTCACACCCCGGGCTGAAGGCGGCGCCAAACCACTGGGCCACCCGGGCTGCCCTAGAATTACAATTTTTAAGTCACACATACAATAAAATAATTTTGAGAATCTTATTGGACTTTACCAAGTGATTTCTTAAAACTAATGCATTTTTCATTCTAGAATAGTTAGGTGTTGTACAATGGACTATTTTGTCACATAGAAGTGACATTTAGAGGATACTAAAAACAAATACTGTTGTTATAGTTAGTCTTTTATGTCTCCTCCTTCAAGTTTTCCATCTTTATGTGCATTCTCTTGGTGCTTTCCTACCCTCATAGGACCCTTTATATTGTCTCTCATCACATTCACTTTGTAACTGTTACAGGCTCTTCCCCAGTTTGAGACTCTACACCCAGAGGGCAGCAAATGAGGTTTTTAATCACTTATGTTTCCCTACCTGGTACATGATAGGTGCTTTGTCAGTGTCTCTTATGAACCTGTATGCGCTTTTGTGAAATATGTGAAACCAACTTAATGTTTTCTTTAACAGTAATAATTTTCAAAAAAAAAAGTAATAATTTTCTAACAACTTGTAATGTTCCACAGATGCTGTCTTATCCTTCAGAATTTTTTTAATGATCCAAATACTTGTTTTAGTATTGAACTGATTTGTAATTGCTAATGTAATGCAGGTTTAGAGAGCCCATTGAGAATTCTTAAGGATTTTATGATGTACTAATGGAAGGTGACTGTAGATGAATATTAACTGAACAGTCACTAGATCATCTTTTAGATATTAATGAGAGAAAATTCATTACGATAGATTTGGTTTTTGTAACCTGTTTCAGTGAGCCCAAAGTAATAGAATAATGTTACCTACAAAATCAAAATCACCAAAATTTTTAATAGTGTTTCTATTATGAAAATCTATTTTGAAAGCAGAATGTTTTATTTATTTGGTTAAGGATTTAAATGACACTCTGTAATTAGCTTCTTAAGGTAGTATTCTACATTGAAATCTCAAAATTAGAATATTGCTATGGATTTGCTTATCCATTCATGTGGTTCCCATTTCTGGATTTTTTAATCACTGAACATCTTCATGATTTTTTTGAGCTCATGTTAAAATACTTGACATACAGAGATCTCATCAGTAAAAGTGTTTAGAAGTGAAGTTTTTGTTTCTTTGTTTTTTAAGGAGATTATAAAATAGTCTTATATTCTGAGGACTGTGGCATACTCAAAGCTAAAGGAAGTCTTTGTCTTTTAGAATAAACCTCTTTGTGGGAAAATGAAGGAACATGTTCCAGTTTTAAAAGATCTGGATCTGCAGTTGAAAATTCTGTTTCTGGTATGCAGTTTTACTTACGTTTTATTTAGTAACTAAGATCGGCTATTACTATTTTACATATATGTGTGTGTGTGTGTTTGTGTGTCTGTGTTGTGTGTGTGTAGAGATATATATTTCTCAAAAAATGATCGCATTTGTTCCACCTAAAGTTTCTGTAAATGTGTTGAGAAGTAGAAGAGATTGCTGTGTTGAATGTACCTGCTTTCCTAATAGTTTCGCTATTTTTTGGAAAGTTACATAACTTGCTCATTTGTTAACAAAGCAATCTTTGCAATCCCTGTATAGTCTTTTACGCTCTTAGGTGTTACTGCTAGTTTTATAGCTTTGTAGTAGCATAGATTATTAGGGTTTTTTCCACATGTAATTCAAACTAGAGTGACATTTTAGGATTTGGAGTCAAGCTGATCTAGGGTATCTGGTGATGTTTCTACATGGCAAGGATGTATGCTTAAGAAACTTAGTAAAAGAAAACATAAAGGTGGAAAGTTAATATATTTATTTGAAAAGATTCGATCAATTTAGGTAAGTTTTTAAAGATTTAAATCATGGCTTACCAGAATAATAGATTTGTTAAAGTTCAGTATACAGTCACATCTAATTTTTTTTTTTTTTTAAGATTTTATATATTTGAGAGAGAGTACACAAATGGGAGAGAGGAGCAGAGCAGGCTCTCCACTGAACAGCCCCTGATGTAAGGCTTGATCCCAAGACTCTGGGATCATGACCTGAGCCAAAGGTAGACACTCAACCAACTGAGCCACCCAGACACCCCGCATCTAATTGTTTTATAAAAACCAAATTGAGGGGATCCATGGGTGGCTCAGTGGTTTAGCGCCTGCCTTTGGCCTAGGGAATGATCCTGGAGTCCCGGGGTCCTTGCATGGAGCCTGCTTCTCCTTCTGTGTCTCTGCGTCTCTCGGTCTGATGAATAAGTAAATAAAATATTTAAAAATAAATAAAAGCCAAATTGAGTTTGTGGGGTTTTTTTTTTATTAGAGGGGAGCACAGAGGGAGAGAAAATCTTAGGCAGGCCCCATGCCTAATGCAGAGCCTGACACAGGGCTTATTCTCAAAATCCTGATATCATGATCTGAGCCAGTTAGAGTCAGATGCTTAACCAGCTGAGCCACCCAGGTGCCCCACGCCAAATTGTTTTATAATGCAGAAGAAAAAGAAATTTACTTAGTGATCATTGGAGACTCTTCAAGGTTAGTGAACTATAATTTGTAAAATTAAAAGGGAAGATCTTAGGCTTTCTTAGCGGATGGGAAGTTGTGATCCAGAATACAATTATACTGGAATGCCTGGGTAGCTCAGTGTTTGAGCATCTGCCTTTTGGCTCGGGGTATGATCCCAAGGGCCTGGGATTTTGTCCCTGCATGGAGCCTGCTTCTCCCTCTGCCTGAATAAATAAATAAAATCTTTTTTTAAAAAATTATATTTAAAAAGCTGTTTGGGGCTAGTTAGTAAACAAGTTTAGAAAGGATGGTGATTGAAGATTACGTTAAAATTTTGTGAGGCAAACTCGTCAACATTTCTAGCATTAGCTGCACATCAGAATTCTATGGGGTCATTGTCCTCTCTACAGGTTTGGGAACCTTGAGAGATGACTTGAAAGCTGGGATGTGAACTGGAAATGAAAATTATTTTTGTTTTATTCTCAAATTTTACAAATCAAAATGGAACTAAAAAAAAAAAACATCACTTTTAATCCCACTCTAACATCAGATTTGTAAAATTTCCCTCTTCCTGTCTGTATGCATATTTTTCTTTATTACTAGATTAACTTTTATTTTTCTTTGCTCCTTTAACATTGTAGTGAGCATTCAGTGTGACCACACACAGTCCTTGTTAAGATTTTAATGTCTGAAAATATTCCATCAAACTCTTTCAACTTAGGCTTCTTCTTTCTATTGCTTGACCTTTTAGGTTTCTGGTTTTTTTCAGTATTGTGCTATAATATCATCTATGTGCATCCATTATATTCTGTCTTTTTGGACTGTCAGCGTTGGGTAGCTTATAATTCTAATCATTTTTGCTAATTAGGTACAAAATACGTTGAGCTCTCCTTTTCCCTGTAATATTTTTGTTGTTAACTAGTAAAGTGGGACCTTTTTCTGTAATTTCACTTCCTGATTCTTAGTATTAGACAAGTTCTGTCTTCAGGATTTCTGTCCATTTATGTCGGAGTTACGATATTTCTTAATTCTTTGAGACTATTATATATTTAATAGTAATTTACTGCAGACATTTTTCCATATAAACTTTTTTTAATTTTCGTTATTTTTGTTGAGGGTTTTTGGATAGACACTGAGGGGTACAAAATACACAGGATGTACTATTAGAAAATCATTTGGAAACAGTGTCCAGTGTGACTTGAAGAAATGACACAGGAATTGGAAGTAGGGAGACAGTTAAGATACTGTTGCAGTGGGAGGTGCTGCACTTTGTTAAGTGTTCCGTACTGTGTTCTCAGCCCTGCCTTGGACTCTGTGTGGAGTTGGCTTCAGTTTTTATTTCTCTTCCTCTCCCCCTCCTGCAAGTGTGCTCTCTGTAAATAAATCTTTAAAAAAAAAAAAAAAAAAAAGATACTGTTGCAGTGCATCAGTATGCTTGAAACTAGAGTAGGACCTGGAGAGAGGAAGGAATAGGTAAGAGATCCTGAGGGAAAAAGAAAAAGTTGGTAGCATTTGATCTCTATTTGATTGTAGAAGTAAAGAAGAAAAAACACTCTAGGTTTTAAAGAGCCAGGGGATAGTGCATACTATTAACAAATTTGGAAGGTCAGGAAAGACCACTGATTAGTAAGGAAAATGAAATCAGTTTTAAACTTGCTGGTTAGAGCTGGAAATTTCTGGTAGCCATTCTTTTGTCAAAGTGCCTATGAGCTCCCTAAATGGGACAAGGCAAGTGCTCTACCTAACATTGTTTCCTGTATTTTGAATTTTAATTCCATTCTTCGATTAGATTTTAGTGCATTTATCAAGGTTTTCTTATTTTTCATTTTTTTTTTAATTTTTTTTTTATTTATTTATGATAGGCACACAGTGAGAGAGAGAGAGAGAGGCAGAGACACAGGCAGAGGGAGAAGCAGGCTCCATGCACTGGGAGCCCGACATGGGATTCGATCCCGGGTCTCCAGGATCATGCCCTGGGCCAAAGGCAGGCGCTAAACCGCTGCACCACCCAGGGATCCCCTTATTTTTCATTTTTAAAGTACGACTTGACTAGCTAAGTCTGAAGAGCCTGTGACTCTTGGTTTTGGAGTGTTGGGATGGTGAGGTTGAACCCTGAGTTGGGTATAGAGATTACTTAAATTAATAAAGTACAACTTGAAAAGAAAAATTAAAGTGGATTAGAACATAAAATAACTGCAGGGAAACCAGATGATTCTCAAACTGAAGAAGAGGTCAGTTTTTCATTTAAAAAAAATACAGTTTTAAGATAACATCTTAGAAAATACATGTTTGCTTTTAAATTATTCAAATACATGAGGTAAAAAATATCTTTCCCTCCTCTTTCTCAGTGGACTCGATTTTGTGTATTTTCTTTCATTTTTAACAAAAAGAGCAGCAACAGATGTGTGTGGAGCACGAATGTTTAGCCAAGAGTCTTTAAAATATGTAATTCAGGCATCTGGGTGGCTCAGTGGTTGAGCATTTTCCTTCGGCTCAAGTCGTGATCCCAGGGTCCTGGGATCAAGTCCTGCATCTAGTTTCCTGCAGGGACCCTGCTTCTCTCTCTGCCTGTCTCTGCCTCTTTCTCCGTGACTCTCATGAATAAATAAATAAAATCTTTAAAAAAAAAAAAAAGAAGTCTTTGATCTTATTTAAATAATTAGGTATTTAAAATTTTTCCCATCATAGTGTTGGCTTTGAGTTAGAAGACACAATCTATTTTTACAGACTGAGGAAAAAGTAATACATTCAGAAACATTTGTGCATTAATTTTCAGCATGCTTAGTTTATAATGAATATATGGTTATGTGTATGTTTTCATTGCTTTTCTTTTTTTTCTTTTTATTAATCCCTTAACTTTGGTATCTTTTATTTTTCAAAGATTAAGTGATTGGAGCTACTTACAGGATTTAGGCCTGTCCATGCCCCCATTAGAATGATAGCTTTTAAAAATAGCTCAGGGATAGCAAAGAAGATACTTCCAGCCTTAGAATGTGTAGGTATGACCAGGGTTTTTGTGGGAAGGGTAGTTTACAGCAAATTTCTTAACTTCTCTGCCCCATCTGTAAAATGTGGATAATATATGTAGAACTCCCCTGACAATGTTGGGATTAGTATTAAATGAGTTCATACATGTAAAGTGCTTAGAGTAATGCCAGGGGTTTAGGAAGCTATCAGATACTATAGTGGTGTTATTACATATAATGCTGTTAAATATTATTTGTCATTCCAGCAGCTTTTAAAAGAATACATTATATACAGAAATAAAGCATCTAGACTCTTTGCCTCCCATCCTAGACCTTTCATATCACTCTCTCTAGACTAATTTGCTGCAGTTACACTAAAAATGTCATGGCTCCCGTATACAAAGTTTTTGTTTTCCCTGATCTTTGTTTTTATTTACACTTTTCCCACAATCTAGAATGTTCCCTTATCCACGCATAGTCAACTCTGTTTTTTAAACTTTTGTTAATAACCTCTACAGCTATATGGGTAATCTGTCCATATGAATTCCATATGTTTCCTCTTAACATGATTCCTGTCACTTTGTATCTTACATTTTAACTCTTTATTCATTTAGATGTCCTTCACTAAGTTAGGACATCCTTACAGTCAGAGAACATACCTTACCCACCTTAGTAAGTTTAGAACCTGTCACAAGCCTTGGCACTTAGTAGGCACTCATTTGTGGAGTGAAAGTTTATAAAGTATATAGCAATCTAAAAGGTGATATTTATTTATTTAAGATTTTATTTATTTATTTGACAGAACACAAGCAGGAAGAGCATCAGGCAGAGGGAGAGGGAGAAGCAGCCTCCCTGCTGAGCAAGGAGCCCAGTGCAGGGCTCAATCCCAGGACCCCAAGATCATGACCTGAGCTGAAGGCAGATGCCCAACTGACCGAGCCACTCAGGCACCCCTAAAAGGTGATACTCTTTTTTTTTTTTTTTTAATTTATTTATTCAAGAGAGACACACAGAGAAGCAGAGAGAGAGCCTGATGTGGGGCTTGATCCCAGGACCATGGGATCACAACCTGAGCCAAAGGCAGACTCTCAACCAGTGAGCCACCCAGGCGTCCCTAAAAGGTGATGATATTCAGTAGACAAATGCATGCCAGTAAAAATATGCTTTGTCGGGATCCCTGGGTGGCGCAGCGGTTTGGCGCCTGCCTTTGGCCCGGGGCGCGATCCTGGAGACCCGGGATCGAGTCCCACGTCGGGCTCCTGGTGCATGGAGCCTGCTTCTCCCTCTGCCTGTGTCTCTGCCTCTCTCTCTCTCTCTCTCTCTGTGACTATCAAAAAAAAAAAAAAAAAAATATATATATATATATATATATATATATATATGCTTTGTCAGTGTTGGTACATTAGGAGCATCTTGCCTGATCACTTAAAATTTGATCACTTGAGGTTTTAGAATTAAGTCAGATTCAAGAACATGTAAGGAGTAGAGCACTAGGGAAGACTATCCACAGGTCAAGAATTTCATTGGAATATTTTCATGCTGTTTTTTTTTAAGGGTGGTATATCTGTCCACCAGAGGGATTAGGTTTTTTGTTTTGTTCTGTTTTTTTTTTTTTTTTTTTTTTTAAATAACTGATTTTTCACAGATATGCCCACCCACCAATCTTCCTTATTACCAGTGGTCCAAATTTGTGAAGTTTGGCCAGGGCTTAGAGTGTATCTTCTGCCAGTAACAGAATATATAAGACACTTGACTGAATCAGTAATTTCACTTTACAAGTAACATTTTTCTTATTATCATAATGCCTCGGGGATCCCTGGGTGGCGCAGCGGTTTGGCGCTTGCCTTTGGCCCAGGGCGCGATCCTGGAGACCCGGGATCGAATCCCACGTCAGGCTCCCGGTGCATGGAACCTGCTTCTCCCTCTGCCTATGTCTCTGCCTCTCTCTCTCTCACTGTGTGACTATCATAAATAAATAAAAATTAAAAAAAAAATAATGCCTCTAGGCGTGCAAAGTAGGGGTAGTCAGAAGAGGAACTGGGTGAGAGATTTCATGAGGACACTAACATGGTCCTCAGTTACTGAAATATTGAGAGGGTCTTGGCCTCTAAATTTGAAATAATTGAGAATAGTGGAAAATGAGATAAGTTAAAATAACAGGCTCACGTTAGGCATTCATAAAGCTAAAATGGCAAGTATGTACCCTTAGCTCAAAAATTCTCAGAATTTCTACAGTAGTTCACTGGGATGTTTGATTGAATAATCATCTTAATATAGGAACCCTGGATTTGAAAACCATTTGTTCTGTGTTCTAATCATAAGTCTGTTCTCATTGGTTGTGACCTGGGATACATTACTCTGCTTGAGTGTCTGCTTTTAGAGATAAAGGTCACAGGGCTAAGATACTCACAGCTCTTAATACACTTAATAGTTTCAATCCATCATATTTTTCAAATAAACATTTCTGAGCCTACTTCTAATATCTATGTGTCCCTGAAAAGTTAATTGATATTTAACATGAGATTCTGAATCCAGTGTATCAGGCATTGACTTAATAATTTTATCACTTAAGGAAGTACTGCTATTCCTATCCCATGGGATTCCTTTTTTTTTTTTTTTAACATTTTATTTATTAATGAAGAGACCGAGAGAGGCAGAGACATAGGCAAAGGGAGAAGCAGGCTCCATGCAGGGGGCCCAATGTGGGACTCAATCCCAGGATCCCAGGATCACGCCCTGAGACACTCAACAGCTGAGCCACCCAGGCGTACCCCCGTGGAATTCCTATCACATAGCATCAAATTCTGATAGAAGCTTTAATGTCATATCTACCTCACTTGTTTTAGTTAATAGGCATTCTAAATACTTTCATTGTGTGATAAAACAGATATCTGAAATAATAGCTAAGAAAGACCACTAATTTCATTATAGTGAAGTTTCTATTTTGCATTTGTGTGTGTAAAATTGCCCACATGCAATAAATGAAAGTACAGTGTTCTCCAGTATTTTCTCTGGTAGTTCTTTTTTTTTTTTTTTTTAAACATTTTATTTATTCGTAGACAGAGAAGCAGGCTCCATGCAGGGAGCCCGATGTGGGACTCGATCCCGGGTCTCCAGGATCACACCCCAGGCTGCAGGCGGCGCCAGACCGCTGCGCCAACGGGGCTGCCCCCTTTTTTTTAACCATATTATGACTGACATGATTTCATGACTTTGGATCTCAACCTACTTTTTGGGTGGGAAAAATAGATGATAATGCCTTACATCATTTGTTAATCTAACATTTAGTAGGCACTTCGATATACTGTTGACTCCTAAGTGTGATAGCTTTAAAGTATTACATAAATAAGATAGAAATTGTTACATGGAAATACTTCTGGTTTCAACAGCAATGGAATTGAGCCGGTCGGGGGGGTGAGCACGGGTGGGGAGCTGCTGAAAGAAATCATGGAGGGGCTTTCATTTTCTTTTTTCTTTTTGTTGGCTTATGGTATGTTTGGTAGTGTATTACTGAGTCTCATGGCCCACTTAGGGACTTCTATGAATTTGTATTTAGGGCTATCCAATCCTGTGGAAGCATAAACAAAATCTTTCCCCCTAAGTTGGTTCCCTAAAACAAAACCAAAAATCTTATTTTTTTTTCTTTTCAATCTTTTATTAGTTTTATGTAGTCCTATAATTGCCCCTCCAGTGTTCGTATAATTTTTGTGGCTTTTAGATCTTGACCGACAGGACTGGAGGGTGGCAGGGGGAGATTTGAAAGACTATAACAAAATTTACAAATAAAAGCCATCTTCCTGTTTCTTATTCTTCAGTGTCCTATGTGATACTGTCCTTAAGACCTTTAAGTTGCCAAGGGAACTGTGGTAACCAAGGCAAATTTTTTGTTTCCCTCTTAAATGTGAAGTTCTGCATTTTATTACACGGTGATGAAAAACTAGTCTGTTACCAGTAAATACATAAGCTACAGAACTTGCTCCTATATGCTGCCAAGTACTTCCTGTTTTGTCAGATTTCCATTTAGGGGAAAGAATGGATTTGGAGTAGACGAGCCTGAGTTTCATGTTTAAAGCATCTCTCCTGAATTTTAGTTTGGAAGCTGTCCAGATATCTAGATGGGGTGGGAGAGGGGGATGGCACATCGTGTTTACAAGTGAAGTCATTTGTCAGAAAGCTTCATTTGGCTTCATATCCTGAAAGGGTTGCCAGGAAGGAAAAGAAACTTTTTGTTGTCAGAAATAATTCGTGCATGACTTGCCAACATTGTGGCTTGCCTTTAGGCTTTCCATGTCAAATGTATGTCAGCTAGTGAATGAATCATTATATTGCCTGTGAAGGAAGGATCTGTGTTCATTTCTAGTAGACTTATCCTCTAGAAATATGGATAACTTTCCATTCATCCACATTTACTCCTTTTTCAGTAGGGACAGTTGGAAAATCAAATGGTGATTCAAATAGAAATTGGCTACATCGTGAATATTAGGTATCTTTGGGGGAAGAGTTTACATTAAAATGATTTTAAGAATTCATTTGCAACTGAAATAGTAAATAGAACATTTAGTTATACGCGATAAATTAACTGTTACTTTTCCTTTTTTTTTTTTTTTTTCTGAGTTTATTTAAGTAATCTCTGCACCCACTGTGGGGCTGAAACTCACAGCCCCGAGATCAAAAGTTGCATGCTCCTCCAATGAGCCAGTCAGGCACCTTTGTTACTTTTCTCCTATGAAATGAAGTAATTAGGTGTTAATAGAATGTGTTAGTGGCACATAATTTGTAAATCTGAATTCCCTCTTTTTGCTGATAAAAGAATGTTGTATTAAGGTTCTTTTGCAGTGTAGAACCAAGTTCTGGGGGAATCCCTGGGTGGCGCAGCGTTTTGGCGCCTGCCTTTGGCCCAGGGCGCAACCCTGGGGACCCGGGATCGAGTCCCACGTCGGGCTCCCGGTGCATGTGGCCTGCTTCTCCCTCTGCCTGTGTCTCTGCCTCTCTCTCTTTCTCTCTCTCTGTGACTATCATAAATAATAAAAATTAAAAAAAAAAAAAAGAACCAAGTTCTGTAAAATTTCTTTGACCAAATTGACCTGACCTGTCTTAAGTCAGAGCTATGTTTCCCTTTCTTGACCTGTCAGTAAAATATGAAAGGTGCTATTTACTGTGCATTTATGCACTTTGTCCACCCTCCTGTTGGAAATGTTCAGGAAACTGATGCTAAATCATAAGATATTTGAAACTTCTGTGAAGTTTCTAGCAGAAGCTTCCCTTTTCATCATCTAGGTATGTGTTCCCATTTTTAAGACCTGGGTTCCTTTTAAAATTCAGTGAAGAAAAGTTTTCATCAATAATCATCATGCCCTACAACTTCATTCTCCATTATGCTTTATAACAGAAATCTCCTCTCAAAACCCTTTACTGTCTCTCATGTTCTCCTTTTACTAAATCGAAATCGGTGGTTCTCAAATTTTAGTGTATTCACAAGCATCACACCAGATACTTATTCAAAATACAAATCCTGGGCCTCACTTCAGACCTTGTGAACTCAGATCTGTGGAGAATTCTTAGTTCTTTGAATCAGGTGGAGAAACCGTTAGGCATTCTGATTGTCCTCTAGATTCTGTTCCTCATAATCATATATAGATTAGCCTTTTTACTTTGTTTCAGTTATTAGCATCGCAGAAATTTTTTCCTGCTAATATTGGCAACTGCAGTTTTTCTCCTAAATTCACTGGAGATTTCATTTGCCAGATCTCTAGGAAACTCCCAGATTTCCTTCCTTATTTGTTAGAATGTATCTTTCTCCTCCTTCCCAAAGAACACATTTGTAGTTCAGTGTGTGTGTGTACACACAGTATATGTATTAGTACATAAACCTGCACACATGGGGCACCTGCCTGGCTCAGTTGGTAGAGTGTGCAACTTTTGATCTCAAGGTTGGTTATACGTTCAGGTCTCATGTTAGGTGTAGAGATGACTTAAAAATAAAATCTTTTAGGGATCCCTGGGTGGCTCAGCGGTTTGGCACCTGCCTTTGGCTCAGGGCATGATCCTGGAGTCCCAGGATCGAGTTCCGCATCAGACTCCCTGTGTGGAGCCTGCTTCTCCGAGAACTCTGCCTGTGTGTCTGCTCTCTCTCTCCCTCTCTCTCTCTCTCTCTCTCTCTCTCTCTCTGTGTCTCTCATGAATAAATCTTTAAAATCTTTTAAAAACCTCACAAATGTTCATATTACATCACTTTTTTTCTTTTTTTTTAAGATTTTATTCACCTATTAGAGCACATGAGCGGAGTGGGGAGTAGGGGAACAGAGGGAGAAGAAGAAGAAGCAGATTCCCCACTGAGCAGGAAGCCCAGGACAATGGCAGGACCCTGGAATCATGACCTGAGCCAAAAGTAAACGCTTAAGCGATTGAGCCACCCAGGTGCCCTACACCACTTCTTTTTTAACAAAAGACCTAAAGGGACACCTGAGTGGCTCAGAAGTTGAGTGTCTGCCTTCAGCCCAAGGCCTGATCCTGGAGACCTGGGATCGAGTCCCATGTTGGGCTCCCTGCATGAAGCCTGCATCTCCCTCTGCCTGTGTCTCTGCCCCCCCCCCACCCCTCTCTCGTGAATAAAATAAAATCTTTTAAAAATATATATATACTTTTTTTTTAAAAAAAGAACTTACATTGGTATCTGTTTAGTGCTACTTCAAAAAGGCAAAAAGCAAAAATTGTTCAGTGTGTTTTCCAGCAAGCTGTTGGCATGCCACCCTAGCAGGGAAAGTGGCAGTACAAGGCTCCTTCCCTGGGAACTACACTGTGTTAAGCCAGCATACCTTTGAACTGTGTCTGTGAGCATCTGCCTTTTATCTCAATATATTTTGTGCATCTGTTAGCAAGATGCATGCAGAGGTGTCAGAAAACACTTAGGTTATTTTGGAGATCTGGGAATGCTCAAAATTTTTTCAGTATAAATTAATGGTAATTTTTTCACTTTATGCATTTTGGCTTATGAATGGTTTCCTAGGAACCTTCTACTTTCTCTTTTTCTAGATGGCAGGGGAAACCTGGGTAAAGAATTACATCCTATTTAACTTGTTTATATTTAATATTTTCTGGCAACATGCTATATTGTAGGCATCCAAATGTTTCCATTCAGTTTTGTTATCACTTAGTTGCTGCTGACTCAAACCTGCCAATGCACTAAAGATGATAGTTTATCAAACTCTTTATACCTCTGTTCTTATATACCATTTCACTTTCTCTAAATAATTAGTATTTCCTTGATGTTTTTTTTTTTTAAGATTTTTGAGAGTGAGCAGGAGGGAGAGGGAGAGAATCTGAAGCAGAGTCTGTGCTGAGCATAGAGGCTGGGGGCTCCAGCCCCCAACTGCCAGATCATGACCTGAGACAAAACCAAGAGTGGTGGGATGCTTAGCCAACTGAACCACCCAAGACCTGTCCTTGGTGATATTGTAAGAATAATTTTCAGCATACATTGGTCTTGAAGTCTTGTTGGCTTTTCCTGGTTAAAAGTTTTTAATAATTCCCTTTCCCATATGGATTATGTAGTTGAACTCCCTATTTAAATGAAGTTTCCTAAAATTCTGTGTTTCCACATAATAAAAATGAAAGTTCAAATTATACTTCAAACACAAACTCAAGGGACGCCTGGGTGACTCAGTGGCTTCGGCTCATGTCATGATCCTGGGGTCCTGGGATCAAGTCCTGCATTGGGCTCCCTGCGTGGAGCATGCTTCTCCCTCTGTTTATTTCTCTGCCTTTCTCTGTGTGTCTCTCATGAATAAATAAAATCTTAAAAAAAAAACACACACATAAACTCAAGATGTGTTAAGGACCCTTGCTCTTCAGCAACCTTACTGTATTAACCATAGTACCCGTGTTTACTTTTTAAAGATTTGGGTATTTATGGAGTGGAAAGATATATACAAATCTTGTGATCTCTTAAGAGGAGTGGTATAGTTTAAGAAGATAGTTTTGTTTGTAGTTTGAATTGTCTGTTCAAATATATTTATATATATATATGAGATAAGGCAGGGGAAGGGCAGAGGGATAATTCCCCCCCCCCCCCCAGAGGGAGACTTAAGCACTGGAGCCTACACAGGACTCAAACTCACAGCCCTGAGATCATGACCTGAGCTGAAGTCAAGAGTTGGACACTTAACTGGGCCACCAAGGTGCCCCAATACTTGCCCATCTTTATTATTTATTTATTTATTTATTTATTTATTTATTTATTTATTTATTTATTTAAAGATTTATTTATTTATTCATGAGAGAGTCAGAGAGAGACACAGGCAGAGGGAGAAGCAGGCCCCATGCAGGGAGCCCGACGTGGGACTCAATCCCCAGGACTCCAGGACCATGCCCTGGGCTGAAGACAGGTGCTAAACCACTGAGTCACCCAGGGATCCCCAATTTTGTTGGGTTTTATTTATGTATCATGCTGTCGTATGGTATCTGAGAACTCTTTTTTTTTTAAGATTTTATTTATTTATTCATGAGAGACAGGCAGAGACACAGGCAGAGGGGGAAGCAGGCTCCATGCAGGGAGCCCAGTGTGAGACTCGACTTGATCCCGGGTCTCCAGGATCAGGCCCTGGGCTGAAGGCGGCGCTAAACTGCTGAGCCACCCAGGCTGCCTGAGAACTCCTTTTTAAACCAGTCTCAGAGATCTTGTTTTCTTCCTTTTTAGAAAGTTTTAGTTTAGGTACATTTTTGTGTATGATCACTTTGATATATGTGGTAGAAGGTATAATTTGGTTTTTGGTGTTTGTTTTTGCATGCAGATGTCCAGTTGTTGACCATTTATGAAAAACACTACCTTCTCCACTGATTTACCTTTTCACTTTTGTCAGTTGACCATATTTGTGAGTCTCTTCAGACTTCCTCTGTTACGTTAATAATATGTCTTCAAATCCTGTGGCATGGGCCTTCTAACTTACTCAAAATTGTTTGGGCTAATTCCCTTTCCCATGTAAATTTTAGAAACAGCTATTGTTTTTCTACCACTCCCCAAAGAAGAGCCTCTTGTAAATTGAGTGGGTTTTACATCCAATTAATAAATCAGGCTAGATAGAATTGACAATAGAGTCTTCTAATAAGTTTATGTAGTTCATTGTTGATACCACCAATATTCTATAGTTTTCAACATGAAATCTAGCCGAAGGTTAAATTTCTACTGAAGAATTCCTGGTTTTGATGCCATTTTAAATGGTATTTAATCCTTCTTTATAGATGAAGAAATTAACTTGCTCGAGGTGACACAATTACTATATGACAAAGCCTCTTTGAAACCTACATGAATTTATTAACTGCTATCCTGGTTTTAAATTAAGATGTTAGTTTCCAGGGCTCCTGGATGGCTCAGTGGGTTAAGCATCTGCCTTTGGCTTAGGTCACGATCTCGGGACCCTGGGATTGAGCCCCACATCAATCTCTCTCTTTTGCCTGCCACTCTACTTGTGTGCTGTCAGATAAATAAAATATTTTATATATATATATATATATATATATATATATATATATATATATATATATTTTTTTTTTTTTTTTGTGTGTGTGTGTGTGTGTGTGTGTCATAGTCACAGAGAGAGAGAGAGAGAGAGAGAGAGAGGCAGGCACACAGGCAGAGGGAGAAGCAGGCTGCATGCACCGGGAGCCCGATGTGGGATTTGATCCCGGGTCTCCAGGATCGCGCCCTGTGCCAAAGGCGGGCGCCAAACCGCTGCACCACCCAGGGATCCCTATATTTTTTTTTAAAAAGGGGTGATGTTGACTTTTTTATTCGGAAGTTGTTGATTAGTAGCAGCAGAGAAACTTTTATTAAGAAAAATCCTATTACAGTGCTTCGATTAAAAAATTAATACCTCAGGGTTGCCTGGGTGGCTCTATCGGTTAAGTGTCTCTGCCTTCAGATTGGGTCATGATCCCAGGGTCCCTGGGATAGAGCCCTGCGTTAGGCTCCCTGCTCAACAGGGAGTCTACTTCTCCTCCCTCTGCCCTTCCCACTGCCTGTGGTCTCTCTCAAAGTCTTTAAAACAAATTTATCCCCCCGAGTTTATTATTTCCTGAGTTTGGGATTTCCAGATCTTGTCTAAATCAAAAACCAGGTTCATCTTAATGTAAAAGTCCCCAATGGATACAGTTGTAATCCAGTGTTTTTGAGAGAGGAGAAAGAGGCAGAGGGGGAGAGAGAACCTTAAATAGGATCCATGCCCTGGAGCCAAAACACCACTGTGGGGCTTGATCTCACCATCCTAAAGATCATGACCTGAGCCAAAATCAAAGAGTTGATGCTTGACTGAGCCACCAGGTAGCCTCTTAGTGTGTTTAAATAGTATGCCATATCCTGTAGGTAGGTAAATAGGATTATTTCAGTTATTTATTATGAATTATTTCAATTTTTTTAAAATGTGTACCTTTAGCATTTGGATGCCTACTCTGTGGCTGCTCACATCCAGTGGAGATACAAAGACGTGACTTTCTGAGCTACTCCCATGGCAGAGTTAGGGTGAGGGGGGTACACTTAATTTATTACTAGTGAACACCATAATGCAAACACGTGATTAGTGGTAGAACAAAAGCTTTACTTGGTTGGGATTAAGAATAGCTGCACTTATACACCCTTCATGTTTTGGAATTCCCTTTCTTAAAACAGTTAGACAACTTTTATGGGAAACACATAACGGACTGAGAGGGGTAAGTCTGACAATCATTTTAGAAGGCTTGCTTTTGGCACGTGATAGTTCTTAAGAAAAACCACTTAATCATCTATGCGTTACAAATAAAATGAATATATGGTAGAGTGCAGGAAAGTAAAAGAAATACCAAGTCTGAGTTCCATTTCCAAAGATCAGAAATTCCGTTAGAAAAAAAAAAAGAAGAAATTCCGTTAGAGAACCAGTATTTGATTGAGTGTTCTACATTAAGATTTGATTTTGATTTGCAGATTTTCTCTAGTTTCTTTTTTTTTTTTTTTTTTAATCTATGATAGTCACACAGAGAGAGAGAGGCAGAGACATAGGCAGAGGGAGAAGCAGGCTCCATGCACCGGGAGCCTGACGTGGGACTCGATCCCGGGTCTCCAGGATTGCGCCCTGGGCCAAAGGCAGGCACCAAATCTCTGGAGGTGGGATCGCCACCCAGGGATCTCCTCTAGTTTCTTAATACTATTTGAATAATGTGTGTTTTTTTTTTTGTTTTTTTTTACAAACTGAGAAAAATGTTAATTTGTAATCTTAAAGAGCAGAACATACTAATGACTCACAGCTTGATTTTTCTCATTTATTTTTCAGGTCCCTTTATGAATGATGAAATAGAAGCAAATGGATAGTCTTATCAGATAAGTGCTTTAATAGCCTAAACATATTTTATTATTTGTAATCCCTAAACCAAAATTTTATTCTTTAAAACATTTTTTATTTATTTTTAGGTACCAATATCAAGAAGGTTTATAGTAATAAAGTACTGGATCTTTACTGGAAATAAATTTGTAATCTTGTCAAAGATTAAAATGTATCAGTTTTTCTCCACCACCACCCCCCCCCCCAGGTTAATTATATTTCTTCAGTGCAGTTACAAAGTGCCCTCACTGTTGAACCTAGATAATTAATCTCATGGT